GCGCAGGATAGAGCAGGGTTTAGAGCTGTTGTGCATAGGGTCGCTATGAGTCGGAAACGACTCGATGGCACATAACAACAACAACAGAAGGTTGTTGAGATTTTTTTCAGCAGCACATCACCAGGCCTTTCTTCCAAGGCACTTCAATCCACCAGTCCCCTTGAGTGGATTCCAATTGTTGCCCTCTCCTGAGGGAGCTCGGTGGTGTGATCCGTAGGGAGTTGCACTGTTAGCCCAAAGGCCACACTTTTCAGGTAGTTCTCATTCACCGGTAGTTCCAGGAGAAAAAGAGGGACAGACAATCTCTGCTGGTGCAGTTTATAGCCTTGGAAAATCAGTTGGCGCATGAACTGTAGGCCTATCCTGACTCATAGCAACGGGGTGGGGTTTTGTTGTTGGGGTTTTTAGTTTAAGAACCCTGGGTGGCAATGCTCATTTCCCCTAAGGCTACCAAAAGTTCTGTACTTTGAAATCGCTCAGCAGGCTGCTGATCTGCTTCTGCAGAGATTGTTGTTATTGGATGTTGTTGAGTCACTTCCGTCTTATGGGACCCAACAGAGTGTAACTGCCCCAGAGGTTTTCTTGGCTACAATTTTTTTTTTTTTAATTTTTGGCTACAATTTTTATGGAATCAGTTCTTCCAGGGTTTTCCTCCTGTGGAGTGACTGAGTGATCTTGAACCAACAAACTTTGTGGCATAGCCTGGCACTTAACTGTTTGCATCAGCAGAGTTCCTTTTAATAAAAATTTACAGCCGAGAAAACACTATGGAAGAGTTCTCTTCTATAACACATGAGGTCACCGTGGGTCAGCATCAGCTTGACAGCAGTAGACATTATCCCTTTATTACTTAGACTATTTCATGTGTTTTTCCCCCCTTTTAATAAATAAAACCTTTCTTTTTTTTTAAATTGGGATTTTAATGAAAATTTACAAAAAGGTTGGGTTTTCATTTATTCTTTATTGCACATTTTCCTCCCTTCTCTCCCCCGCCCCAGTCCACTTTGCAATGCACCTCTTGTTCCAGAGTCTTGTCATATATATAATGCCTAATCATATATTCCTTTCAGACAGGTCTTCCCCTCATCTGTTCCAATGCAGTGCATTGGATCATGCAATGCATTATCTATCTACTCTTTTCATAGTCCTCCTGTCCCCATATCAGTCCTATTTTATAACAGCAGTATTATGCAGTATTTGTCCTTTTGTGATGGATATATTTCACTCCGCATAATGTCCTCCATACTCACCCATGTTGTGTAATGTTTAACAAGTTCATTGTTTTTCAATGCTGTGTAGTAGTATTCCAATGTGTGAATGTATCAATTTTTCTATCCATTTGTTTGTTGGTGGGAAAACCTTTCATTGTAATATTGTTGCTTCATTTCTAGTGGGAGCAGGAGAGGCTGTGAATTTTGCGGCTTATGCTTTTGCACCTGCTACTTTGGTCACTCCACTGGGCGCCCTGAGTGTTCTTATAAGGTATGTGAACCACAAGGAACTTGACCTCTACGCATGGTTTCATCCTATGATAAACTTAACCACAAGAAGTGTATTACTTTAGCAAAGCAAACAAAGCATGAAAATAATTTGAGAAGACTAGTAAATAAATAACATTAGAAATAGAATATGAATGCCAGTTAACAAAACCAAACCCACTGTTGTGGAGTTGATTCTGACTCACAATGACCGTAGAGGACAGAGTAGAACTGCCCTCATAAGGGCTTCTCCAGGCTGTGATGTTTACAGAAGCAGACCTCCACATCTTTCTCCTCAAGAGCAGTGGGGGGTTTGAACAGCCAACCTTTCAGTTAGTAGCCAAACACTTAACTACCATTAAATATTTGGGTTGTTAGATGCCATTGAATCAGCTTCAGTTCATAGTGACTCTGTCTAATAAAGAGATCAATTCCTAGGAAATAGATTGCTTTATTATTGCGCTTGAGAAAACTTATGGGTGAATGAGCCTAGTTTGCGACTACCTTAATATAATTATTTTTTTTACCTTAATATAATTATGTGCTATGTCATTGTATGCTATAGGGTCCACTCTGACTCATAAAGAGCCTATTTGCTATTGCTTAATTAAACCCGGCAAATGTTTTGTTTTGTCCCCACTTGAACAAATTACCATGGTCCTTTCAATTCTGTCATCTGCTGGTTAAAAACGGAGCTCTGGTAGCTTAGTGGTAAGAAGTTGCAGTGCCAACCCTAAAGCAGACAGTTTAAATCCACCAGCTGTTCTGTGGAAGAAAGATGAGCATTCTTATATGATTTATAGTCTCTGGAAACCTGGTGGAGGGTCAGCTATGAGTCAGTTTTGACTTGAGGGTGCATAACAACAACAACTGGTTAAGACAGTAGTTCTCAGAGGTCTTTTAAAAGCATAGTCTTTGGGTTAAATTTCAACTTGAGATAAATCCTGGGTTGTCTGATGGCCACATCAGTTTCTTTCCTATCAGAAACAGAATCACTTTCCTGTTTCACAGAATGTGGGTCAAGTGTTTTCTGAGATGGTCTTTATTATGATCACGGTGGAATGTGTTCAGCAAGCCCATGACCTCCTTCATTTTGGGGCCAAGCTACCGTTTTGTTTATTTTCTTTTTATTTTCCCTTTATCACCATTCCTTATCAGTCTCTAATAAAAAGCTGATGGGAGGCCTGCCCATTTCCTTTTACTTTCTTTGCCAGTTTGCTATGAAAATGAAAGGAGTTAATATACCACCTGGCACTTGGCATACCATAAAGATAAGTATGCTTTTGTAAAGTAAGCTTTTGTTAGAGTTGATTCTGACTCACGGGGACCTTACATATAGCAGAAAAGTGTATCTCTCAGTCTATGTCCTCTTCCTGCTCTTTGGTCTTTCTGGGTTCATTTTGCAGATGTTGCATATAATGCCTTCCAAACACAAGGTCTCATCTTCGGCACTAGATTGGATGATGTTCTCTTGTGATGCATAAGGTTTTCTTTGGTTAGTTTTTAGAAGCAGATCACCAGGCCTTTCATGTTGGAGGCTCCGCTGCTCCCTTTTCACCGTGCCTCACCCTGCTGGTATTTGAAATCACTTCCAGCATCAACAGTAGCATGCAAGTCACTCCGAGATGGCTAATTGATACATAAGTGGTGGTGGTAGGCAGAAACAATAGCAGTTGTCATTGAAGTTGCTGTGCTCACTAGGGTCACTTTGGAAAAGCACCACTGTAGCTGTGGGGGCCAGGCAGATGTTGGTAGTGTGTTCATGGGACTAGCTGAGTGCAAGAGACTCTGCGACCCTACAGGTAAAGTAATGGGTTTCTATAGCCTAGGGTCCTATAGTACAAATCTGGAACTTTCTAAATCCAGGGCACCTAAAACCAAGAGTTTTAGTTAATCAGAACAATAGCAGTTGGTCCAGGAGTTATTTCAGTGTTTTTACTGCTGATATAACTGAATGTGAGTTCCTGAACAAAAGCTTTTAGTAGAGTAATTATTCTGTAGGCATTGCCTCTATGAATTCTCTCATAAGCATGCATATTCTATATCTTATTCTATGTTGTTGTGTACCGAAGAGTTGGAACCAATGCATCGCTGACCCTCCGGCAGTTTTTCAGAGGCGTATTATTCTTGCACATATTATTCTATGTATATTATCATTAAAATGTACAAGGTCTTTAACTTTGCAGGAGAAAAATAGGAAACGGAATGGGACTTCTTAGAAGATCATGAGAAGCCTAAATTGATACAAGTCCCTATTATAAGTCTTCAGATATAAGGGTTTTAGAAAATCTGTGAAGTAGTCTTGATTGCAGATCCCTTGGGTGGTATAATTGGTTAAGAGGAAGTGAAAGGTTGGCAGTTCAAACCCACCCATCGGAACCTCAGAAGACAGGCCTAGTGATCTGCTACTGAAAAGCTACTGCCTTAAAATCCCTGTGGGGCGGTTCTACTCTGCTCATGTTAAGTTGTTATGCATTGGAACTGGCTTGCTTGATGATACATACCAGTAGATAAAATTGACCATCATTTCGGTGTTTTAGACTCAACCCAATTTTTCTGCGTCACAAAGCATATTCTATATGTCATTCATGTACAACAGTGTAATTTCTGAGCTTCTATGAAATCAAAAGATAATTCAACCAGAGTGACTTTTTCCCCCCTTCTCCCCAACAGCGCAATATTATCTTCCTATTTCTTAAATGAGCACTTGAATATTCATGGGAAAATAGGCTGCATATTAAGTATACTGGGGTCAACTGTGATGGTTATCCATGCCCCTCAAGAAGAAGAGGTCGCTTCTTTGCATGAAATGGAAATCAAGTTGAGAGACCCAGGTCTGTGATGCAATCTAAAGATACACCCACTCAAATTCTGCTTCACTCTCTCCTAATCAAAGATATTTTTAATAATACTGTAATATGCTTTTCAGCAAGGTGGGTTGTGAGACATAGTAATACGGTTTGACTCATTATTAAGAGTTTTTTTAAAGGCTTAAGAACTTATTTTTGTGTTCAGGCTTCCATGCTACACAATGAAAAGGCAAAAATGGAAGTAATAGGGGCAACAGAATTCTAGTCAAACCCAAACTTACAGCTTTCTCCCTCCCTAATAATTAATAATAATAATAATAATAATTTTAAAAGACAATTAATAATATTTGCCCTACCTCCTATTCTTATTTGTGAAATTCTAATAGTATGCTTATAAAATATCTTAGTTAACTATTGAGAGCTATTGAAATACTTTCTTTATTTTTAATATTTCTTCTCTTTCTAAAACCACTTATATTTTTAAATTTGTGACTAGCGAGAATTTCAGACAGATATGATCCCATTAGCATTTTCTGAAGTCTAATTTTTTTTGTCTTCGTAACAGGATTTTTGGCCTTTGCAGTTATCGTAACCATGATCTCCTTGGTCCTTATTTTAGTCGTGGCACCCAGGAAAGGACAGACCAATATATTGGTC